TGACTGCTCAGCTGCATTAAGAACAGGAGAGGGTTGGGCTGTGGTGTCAGCACAAGAGATGGGGACAGAGCCGGTCCTAGGGAGGGGTCCTCGCTGGGTGCAGGGAGGGCTGACCCTGACCCCTAGGCAGGGGAGGGCAATTGCTTCTGAGTCCTGACAGCTCTGCTCTTTTGCAGGCTCCGTACTTCTGGCCGTCGAACTGCTGGGAGCCTGAAAACACGGACTATGGTGAGCAGTGAAGGCACAGCCCACACTCAGTGTTACTGCTGGGAGTGCGAAGGCAAATGCTCGGTGTTGGCGACGGAGTGCAGGGGAGGAGGTTCTTCACCCGGCTTAGCCCTTTGTCATACTGTTGACATGTAATAAGCATCCTGTTCATGTGATGGAGAAAGGCAGCGCACACCGGAAGATGCAGCCGTGGGAAGGAAATGGGGGGCGGAAGAAGTCTATCAAGGGTGGCCAATAGGTTCATTCTGTGGGGCCGTGGAAAACCAGGATCCCACAGCAACTCTGTAGGACTTTTCCCGGGAGGACTAGATCAAGGGGCCACCCCCCCCCCCGACCCTTTCTATCCTCACAGACTTGTTAACATTTATTAATAACTCACTGGTGTTTTTGATAGTTGGAATTTAGGGAGAAACTGAGAAATATCAGAGCAGGGATATACAGACGTTACCCTGGTCCAGAAAAATAACGAGTGGGTGAAGTTGGGAGCTGGGTAAGCAGGGAGCTGCCTTTATAAAGGGAGGGATCTATTAGACTCTTGCCATAGGCTCTCTGTGGAGGCTGTTTAGTATTTCTGTGTGCCAGTCCTCTAAAGAAGTGACATTGTCCCTCTACTTCAGATAAAGAACCAGCGGCCACCTCCTCACCCTTATCACAGTTATCACACTGCTTTCCACGTGTCTAGGAGCTCCAAGAGGGCGGGGTTAGTCCACTTTGTTCATTCTCAGGCCCCCAGTGCTCACCTGAGGCATAGCTGGTGCTGAGTATTTGCTCTTTATTGAAGGCACTTAGCAGACACTCAGTGGAGGCAGCAGAATTTGAACTCAGATCTGAGTGGCTCCAAGGCCCATGCTCCTTTCATGGCCCTGTGCGTGGCATCGTGCAGATGCCCCTGTCCCTTTGCACAGCATCCTCATCACTGGCTCAGCTGCTGGGCCGCACAGTGGCTGTCCTCTCACTGGGCACTTGATGAGACCAGCAGCTCCCCCCGCCCTGCCCCCCACAGGCTCTCTGCAGGATTGTGGGCACAGGCAGGCAGGCAGCGGCAGCGGCCACTGGGTAGTATTTGGGGGGGAGCCGGTCCCGGAGACCTGTGTGACCAGCTACGCCCTCCAGGCCACACATTTGAGGGGCAGGGGTAACTAGCGATTAGAAGCAATCCTAAGGATGGAATGTGAACAAGTCATTGCCTAATAAGATTACAGATGCTCTGTTTCCAAGTCTGGAAAATGGCCCTCATACAGAGGACAGGCCCTCTCTTGTCACATCGGCTGTCTGCAGGCTCCACCGCGGGCCCCTCTGGAACTGCGCTGCACCCTAAATGATGTGATAAGTGGATCCAGCAAGGCTTCTGGCTCAGAATGGGAGCTGCATTTGGCTGCTCATAAAACAAGTGTTTCTGGGGCTGAAATTTTGCTAACAAAAGCCCAATTCAGAATTTGAATGATTGTAGCTGTTTCGTGCAGCAGCCATGCGCCCTTGTGAATGGGGAAACCAATATTTTTCCAGGCCATAGTGAAGGGGGGAGGATGGTAGGACCAGAAAACTGGGCCCAAGTAAGATTGAAATATTTACTTGACTGTAAAGCCTAAGCCATCTACCACTGCATACAACGGACATTATTTCCCTTTCTCTACATGTTTTCTCCATTTTCTAATTTTAGTTGTCCAGCATAAACAGGGATAGCAATAACAATTTATATCAGGCTCTCATTAAAGCAAAATTATTTTTTAATTCAGATGCCTCGATTTTGGCAAATCAGATGGAGAAGTCAAGGTGTAGAATTCCAAATCACTTGCCAACATTTCCAAAGCAGTTTAGTCAGAAAATATTTACCAAGAAAGAATTCAGCACAGTGGGCCTAGCATTGACTAGCTCCACTAGCTGTGTGATCTTAGCAAGTTCCTTAACCTCTCTGTGCCTCAGAAACTTCATATTAAAAGCAAAATAATAATAGTACTTGTCTCCCAGTGTTGTCTTGTTAGGATTAAATGAACTACAAGTAAGGTTTGGTGTATGGCAGATAGTAAAGAGTCAATAAAACCTCAGTGGTGGTTGGTATTATCATTCCTAGACTGATGTTTGATCTTATTGGTTCTCTGGTGGCCCTCTTGTCAGGAAAAAATGTGAAATTGAAGCTAAGAATTCAGAATAGGTATGGTTTGGATTGACAAAGAACCAGGAACTTTCATTCATTCAATAAACATTTACTGATCACCTCCTCTGCATCGATTGCTCAGTCACCTCTTTGAATGAGTCACAGTCTTGTTCTCCAAGCATTCCAGAGAGGTTGCATGATGGGGGTAAGAAGGGCATAGTGAGGAGTCTGATCTGAGTACTCAAAGGTTTTACGTTAATGAAGAATGATTGAGAAAGTTCAATAGTTTGGGAGGGGCAGGTTTATTAAAAAGCCTTCATAGTCGAGGAGAGACATTTAGAATGGAATCAGCAGTGTTAGGGAGCCATAATGAAGCCCCAATAATGGAGAATGACCTGAAAAAAAGTTTCCTCATCTATAAAATGAGGACAGTAGAGAACCCACTTCACAGGGTTATTGTGAGGAGTAAGTGAACGCTGGGAAGGGCCCTGACACTCAGTGAGCGCCATGTAAGTGGTAGCTGCTCTCATGGTGATTTCCCCAGCACGTGTAACAGTGCTTGGCACATAGAGACATTCAATACACTTTTAAATGGGAAAATGAATAAATAAATGGGGCAATGACTGTCATAGTGGAAAAAGGGCTCTGAACAAGACCTTAATTCTATTTCCACCTCCACCCGTAACCAGAGGTGAGTAAATCAATTCACCTCTCTTGGCCTTTAGTTTTTCCATCTGTCGATGAAGGGTCCTTACTTGATGGTTGCCAGGGTTACTTTCAATGCTGAAATTCCATTGTTCTAAAAAGTAATTAGAGGGTATGAGGAAAATAGAGAGATACAATCTCCTACTTTAGGAGATTGAGATAAATAATGATGTCACTAGCACAGACAGTTTGGAAAATGAGTCAGTTTTTAAAGTACATTGAGGTAGAATAAAGTCAATATTTTTTTAATGTTCAATTACACATGTTGCACATGAATCCATTCTGTTTATAAATTTTTAATGTGTTCTTTTTTTACTATTTGCATTTTTATTTTTCAATTATAGTTTACTTTCAATATCATTTGGTATTGGTTTCAGGTTTACAGTACAGTGATTAGACAATCAGATAGTTTACAAAGTGATCCCCCAATATTTCCAGTGCCCACCTGGCATCATACATAATTACCACAATATTTTTTACTATATTCCATATTCCCAGGACTATTTTGTAGCTACCAATTTGTACCTCTTAATCCTTTCACCTCTTTCACCCAGTCCCCCAAGTGCCCTTCCCTCTAGCAACCACCAGTCCCTCTCTGTAACCTGTTCTATTTTTGTCACAATGATACACAATGCGCTTGTGATGGCATTGCGTCATCCAAGTGAGAAGCCAGTGAGGTGGGAATGCCAGGTATGAGGGCAAAAAGACAAAGGTTTTTCAATGAGAAATTAAATATCCAAGAAAAGCCAACATCTTCTCTTAAAGCAAGTCCCCCAGATGCCCTGGTATAGGACTGGCTGCTGTTGCCAGCAGTCATTTGATTGGTTAGATGTTAGAGCAAGCACTGTTGAGGGCACCGTAGTGGTGCAGACAAGCCCAGGGAAGGTCTGTGCCAAGAAGAGGTCCACTCCACAGCCACGTCCCACCTTCCTGGTTCTGGTGAACAGATTCCCTCATATGTGACATTAGCCACAGGGGAAATGCGCTGAAAGCATGCCACCATGTAACTCATGTCGTGGGGAATGGTACAGCTTTCATCTGCATGGTACTTATATTATACTTTACTAGAGGCCCGGTGCACAAAAATTTGTGCACTCAAGGGGGACAGGGGGGGGGTCCCTCAGCCTGGCCTGTGCCCTCTCACAGTCTGGGATCCCTCGGGAGATAACGACCTGCTGGCTTAGGCCTGTTCCTGGGTGGCAGAGGGCAGGCCCAATTCCTAGGTGCAGCCCCTGGTCAGGCTCAGAGCAGGGCTGATTGGGGAGTTGGGGCGCCGCCCCCTGTCATGCACAGAGCAGGTAGGATTGGGAGGTTGCGATGCCACCCTCAGTCACACTCAGGGTAGGGCCGATTGGGGGGTTGGGGCACCGCCCCCTGTCACACTCAAGGCAGGGTCGATGGGGAGGTTGCGGCGCCACCCCCTGTCATGCACAGAGCAGGGCCCATCAGGGGGTTGGGGCGCTGCCCCCTGTCACGCACAGAGCAGGGCCCATCAGGGGGGTTGTGGCTCTGTACCCTGTCACACACAGAGCAGGGCCAATCAGGGGGTTGGGGAGCTACCCCCTGTCACGCACAGAGTAGGGCCGATAGGGGAGTTAGGGCACCGCCCCCTGTCACACACAGAGCAGGGCTGATCAGGGGGTTGGGGCGCTGCCACTGTCACACTCAGGGCAGGGCGGATGGGGAGGTTATGGCTCTACCCTGTCACACACAGAGCAGGGCCTGTGGGGGGAGGGGGGTGTTGGGGCCCCGCACCCTGTCACACACAGAGCAGGGCCAATCAGGGGGTTGGGATGCCGCACCCTGTCACACACAGAGTCCGCAGGGCGATCAGGGGGTTTGGCGCTGCCCCCTGTCACGCTGATCCTGGTGCTGGGAGGCATATTACCCTTTTACCATATAGGATAGAGGGCTGGGGGCTGGCTGGTTTGGCCTGAAGTGTGTCCTGGATCAGGGTGGGGGTCCCCACTGGAGTGCCTGGCCAGCCTGGATGAGGGGATGATGGCTGTTTGCAGCTGGTCACACACCCTTCAGGGTGGAGGTCCCCACTGGGGTGCCTGGCCAGTCTGGGTGAGGGGCTGAGGGCTGCCTTCAGGCTGGCGATTGACCGAAGCTCCCAACAGCTCCTTTTTTTCTTTTTTTTTTTTTATTCTGGGCCAGCTTTAGCTCTGGCTGTAG